TTCTTTTTTTTAAATAATTACAGTTTTCTTTCGAAATAATAAACAAAACATGCAAATAATGTAACGAGCAGAAATGACAAAGTATTATTATAATTAATGGAGAGCGTTGTAAAATGTTTGCTGATGCAGCATTATTAATTTTAATGATATAAGAATATAAATTTTATTTTTTATTGTTATCAAAATAACATCTATTTTTAAGTATTTAAACACGATTTCGTACTTAACGCCAGATAACTTTAATAACCAATACGAAAAGAAAAATCAATGGTCTGTAACCGAACTGTTTACGTATTTGTTTCACTATTCTGAAAGAAAAGTCTGACAGAATATTAATATAATTTCTTCAAAAGGTTCCTATTCAAAATAAAATTCTATAGTGGTACTTTATGCAACGAAGTCTTGAGATGAGTAGTTTGAGAAATTATATATTCAGGTTGACCTAGAAGTCCTTTGACATAGCAACCATTTGAAAATGTATTAATAAAAATATGCATACATAAGCAAGAAAAAAAACCACACACACATTTTGAATTAATGGGAAAAAATCCTATCAATAGTTCAAAACTATTTCATAAAAAAACTTATATTCTTGCCGAAAATGACTGCTATGTGAAAGGAATTCTGGATCACCCAGTACGTTATATACGGTATTATTAAATTAATATATTTATCCCTTCTAAAATATCTGAAACTGAACAGAAAAAGGATGTCATTTTGTAAGGATTTTTCACAACACTGTGAGAGAAATTCCGATTAAATCGTGATAAACGATAGAACACTTTGAAGTGCGTATAGTTCTAGAATATTAAATTTTTGATCCGGTGGAAATCGAATAAATAAATATATATATATATATCCTCCTAGGCCTTCAATCTGTGGTTTTGCTACCGGCAGTATGTTTCTACCGAAATTCAGAGGGAACTTTAGCTCAAAGAACCCCCTCATGGACAATGAGGGGGATTCTTGGAGCTAAATAATAACCTAGATAAATAAAGCCTGAACCTAGATAATAAAATAAAAATTGATTAATGAAATAAAGACAATTAGTAAATGCTTTCGAAATAGGTGAGGATAACGTGCGCCAGTAGCACGTTATCCTACGGCAAAAAAAGGGCAATTACCTGGATCCCCTACCGACAGGGGCCAAAACCAGTCTTTTATAAGAAAACATTTCTCCCAAAAAAATCCATGGGAAAAAAAAATGCCCGAAGTCAACACCGTACATGAGGCTCTCTAATTCAATCTGTCTGAACCCCATGAAGCTACAACGCACCACTAATGTGCGCCTACGAGAGAGCAAGATGAATTCAATTTTGAAAATAAAATTTGTTTAGATTATAGGGAAGAAATTAATGAATAATTGATTTTCATTAAAAATATAGTTTATTATTGAGAAGATGTAAAGAATCACAAAAGGTCCAAACAATGTCCAAATAGACAGTATATACACAGAAATATAAAACAGTAAGGACATAGAAGTAAAAAAAAAAAACTATATTCTCGTATTACATATAGAGATTTATTTCTTTTACCATAAAATTTAATGAATTATTTTTCACTCAAAACCATTTAGAATATCTAAAACTTTTCAAATTTAAAATATTTTACTTTCCTCTTACATGCGCACATCCTCACCTAACTCAAAAACGTCTATTAATTGTCTTTACTTCATTAACAAATACTCATATTATCTAAGTTGGAAAGAGTTCAAATAAATTTCTGAAAATAAAAAATTCTCCATAGACATAATGTTAAAAGAAAATCAATTACTTTTTTACTCGATTTCCACTCGAAAATTCTAATATTCTAATACTATATGCACCTGAAAATGTTCTTTCATTTATCACGATTTAATAGAAATCGATCTTACAATGTTATGAAAAAAAAATCCTTAAGAAATGACGTCCTTTATGCAATAAAATCTAATGGAAAACGCAAGTTACATTGCCCTAATCACATCTGGTAAAATAAAATTAAGTTTGATGTATCGATTTAAATAAATGTAGGCTACTAGTTGTTATTTGCTTACAACTTTTTAATTAAATACATAAAAAAAAAGGAAAGTTGCCTCCCCAACTGACATTATTTTAAAGAATGGCCTGTGTATTCAAAACAGATCCACTAAACTTTATTGTACGTTAATCAATTCAATCGGCAATAATTTAGTTATATACATACATAAATATCATAAATAATTTATTTGTTTATGTATAATTTTATATACAAATAATCTGACGAATTTTTCTCAGAATATTTACAAATTTTTCGAATTTTGTCATTAATTAATCAAAGTGAATATAAAATCAAAATTCGGGGAAATTTTTGTTTATATTGAAGGTTGTGTAGCTGTTAACTTAAAATATTTAATAAAGAGAAAAATGCTATATTCGTGTTTAATTGACTTGACAAAATAACTAATACGTCAACAATGAAAACTTTTGTGTAACTTTTCACGTTTGTTAGTACTGTAATATATATTTACTTCTGCAGCAAAATATTTTGACATACAACTTAAAGTCCGTGAAAACGTTCGTTTTCTCACGTCCTTTACTAATAATATAAATAAAATAGATACTTCAAACAGTCCTACTTACATAATCAAGTATTTTAAGTATCTTACCTTTTGTATAACATTAAAACATGACACATGCTTAACTTAGTTTTTCTACTATTAAAACTAAAAATTCCAAGTTGAAATGAATCGTTCTACTTACTTCAGACATTTTCCTTTTGTTCTGGTAAATGTTGCTTGCATAAAATTACAAAACTATTAAATTACAAAACTATTAAATCACACAACTTGAACACAAAAATCAGCATAGCATAAATTGTTGTTGTTCATACAAAAGTTAACCTCAAAATTATCATTGCATTCTATTCTATTTTTATTATTTTTGAAACACAAATGATGTTATAACTTTCAGGGCATTTAAAAATATTATTATTATTATTATTAATATATTAGTATTAACTATAAATATTTGCATATTTTAGTTTAATTTATAATGTAAAATTTTAACAGTAGACCATAACTTTCTGCATGGAAGGGATTAGATTAATATATAGAGATAAGAATATGAAAATGAAAAATAAGGACTGCCCTTTGAAGTGAAGGAAGTATAGCAACTATCTGTGCATAATAAAAAGGAAATGAAGTTTAACAAATTAAGAAATCTTATTTATTCAAATTAACAAAATAAACTTTAACTTTTTTAATTTGTTAAAGTTTATTTTTCTTCAGTTGTTTAAATATTGTGAAGTTGAAACATGTCTAAATTTTCAAACTATTTACTGCATTTTAGACTATTATATATTTATGTTAACTGCGTTAATAACTATTATTATAATTATTTTAATAACTGACATATATAATTTNGCAAATTTAATTAAATATGACATAAGCCTTATTTTTAAAATTATTCAGTTTTAAAGTTACATTTACTTACAATATTTTTTAGTCTTGTAATTTCTATTTTCTGTATGAATTGCTTGCAATTTCTCTAAAATTTTTATGCTTAGTTTTAAGCTACTCATACTTGTTCTGTTTCTTGTTCATTGAATGATAAAAATGCAACATTTTTTTTTTCAGAGAGTTATTTAAAGATATTAATTTTCTTCTAGATTAAAAGCATTGTAAGAGAGCTGCATTTATTATAAATTACAATACTTTTCAACCTTTATTTTTTTTAAAAAAGATAATAAGTTAAACAATACTGTAAAATCTTATCAATTTAAATCTCATACTAAATAGGAAAATGTTTTCATTTGAATGATTTCAATTTTTTGTTTTAAGTTGTATATTTTTGTTTTTTTTTATTTACTTCAACCAGTGAATTATTTTTAAAACATCTTGACAAAATTAAATTAGTAAACATATCTCTGACAGAAATTTTGACGTAACTTAATTTTTTTTTATGAACTAAACAATGGAAAAAATTAGAATGACATTAAGTGTGTGCTTTACAACCTAGTTTCAATTTGTATATAAATGATTACCTATGATCTTTCCACTTTAAACACGTTTTAAAAATACCAATGTATACAGCAATAATCTGAACAATAAATTACCAAATTATTAATACTTCTAAAATTGATTTGTAAATTTTATTATTTTTAATAATAAAAAATAAGCTATTTTGTTATTATTTCGTAATTGATAAGTGAAAATATTTATATTTTATAGTTTCCAAATTACCTTTAAATAACAACAAAAATTGAAAAATGATATCAAGTAATCAAAATTGCTTTCAGTTTCTTAGAATTCATTCTTACCAATTGCTATAACAATGTATTTTTTGTAATTTTCATTCATAAATGTTTTAACTTATTATTATTCCATTCTTAGATGACCTGTTTTGGTTTGTTTGAAGACCCCATAAAATTAACTATGAATCAGCATTTGAATAAAATAAAGATTTATTTTATTAAAATGAAAAGTACTAACATTCTAAATTGAAAAATATTTGATTTTATTCTAATGTATTTTAAGAAAACTTCTAAAATGTAAAATGTAATTTGTATGCTTTTCGTAGAATAAAAACATTTTTAGAAAACTGAAAACACTTTTGGGCTATTTGGCCATCTTAAGTCAGTAAGAGAAAATATGAAGAGAAAGATAAGTATAAATAAGATTACTTGAGTTTTCTAAGAGTTTTGCTCTAAGAAGAGCAGTTTCAATTGGTTCTAATATAGACAGATCAATAACATTAATTCTAATAAATAGCATAAATTTAAATATTTGAATTTGCCCATCGAGAATTATACTTCCTTATTGTAATGATTAATTATTCAGTTATTATTATAATTAATATATATTCAGCTGTGTTTCAGAGCATAGATGTAGTACCAGCTGTAGTCTCATCTGCACTCTATGCAAGAAGTTTTGCTGTATCCCAGACTTGCTAATCAATGTATAAATTCTACACTACACAGTTTGATCATACCTAGAGCCAGCACTGTAAAGATTATTTGATATTTGATAATAATCAAATACTTACAGCAGAGAGATTATCTGGAGCACTGTTCAGATTTCTTTCCATGTTTTCTATAAGCTAAATTTAACCTTTAAAAAATAAAGCATTAAATTAATATCAGTAATGTATGATTAAATAAATATGTATTTATTATAAAGCAATTAAGATAACGAAGCTTAAGATATGTTTTACGGTTAATATCTGTGAAATGCATTGCTTAAAAAATATTAACTCTGACTTATTACAGATAAACACAAATTAAAATTTTATGGAAGATAAAATATGAATAACTATTCCGAAGGACATTTACTCCATTGCAAAACTTTATTCACTGATTAAAAAAGTAAAACTTGACTAAATTTATTACATAAAATTGCAAATAAATTTTTTAAGGTAGAAAATATTTTTAGTATTTTACTAATTTAAAAATAAACATATTTTTCTCACTAAATTATATTTTTGTTTTGCACAGACAGTCATTGAACTAGAACAGGAAAGAAGAAAAACTATAAAGGCAAGTTTAGGAATTTTGATTGTTTTATCAGGTTCATTTATTATTAGAATTTTTATATTAAACAATAATAAGTAATTATAGAGTATAGCGTGCCGATAATATATCATTTGATACTTTTGGAGAATGATATCAAGTGAGTTACATCTAACCTGCGCTTCCATTGCATTGACATTTGCAATGTAACATGTATTTATTGTAAAATAAAAGCTCTAAATCTGAGGATTAAAATTAGAATTTGAAGTTAAATAAAGAAGCAGAATTTGGATATCTTATTTTTTCCTGTTTACGTTTTGTATCGGAAAATATTTTATCCAGGAAACACGGTTGATAGATTTCTCTTACACGCGATATCATCTATAGGAAAAAAAAATGGTCATAAGAAGTAATAAATCGCTACCACATTAAAAAAACAGATTTAACGATAAGACCAAGAACATTTTTATAGCAAATATGTCTTTTATTCATCACTCATTAAATATTTTAAACGAGTTTTATGCACTTCATACTTTCAAACAAATTCGATGAATTTCACCAGGAAATGCGAGCGATTAAAGAGTAAACACAGTATTTGCAAGCAGTTATAAATAACACGAGTTAAATTGAATTTCCATTTATAATACCAATTTTTAAACAAATTACCTAATTTTTAAGTAGGAACGCTAACGTATGTTGAGCGTAATTTTATTTAAAATTCAAATAACACTCTCAGTACCTAAATAATGGGAAATAAAATGTACAGTACGCTATTACTTTCCTACTATTTAGTAATTATTCTGTTTTTAACCTTGAAAAGAAGAGAAAAACCTGTTTTGAGGAAAGTAAATTTTCCATAACACTTGAAACTTGATTTATATCAGTATATCGCGTTAAATTTTTTGTTAAATCGAAATAAAATTATGTTTCACGCAGTTAAAAAAACCTATATTTCATAATAACGAGAACAATGTGAGCAATACTAACTTGATACGCTTTAAACTGTTCGAGTCAAAGGCCAAGGTTACTTAAATGACAATACTTTCTTACTAATGCATTGAATAATGTGTAACTTAAATAAATAAAATCAAATATTCGTTTAAATTCTTCGTCAATTACTCTTAGAAAAATATTTTCATTGACTATTTTATAAACAAAAGGAGGAAAATAGTACATGTGTTATTTTGCAGTTTGATTAACCTGATAACGATATGGTCTAGTAACTCAAGTGTCTGCTTCTATATATTAGTTTCTTCCGTACGAACAATGCCTTTCGATTATATTATTATGATAATTTTAATTCAAAAAATTCAAATTACAGAAAATTATACTTCTTATTGATGTAAATGTACTGTACATGTAAATAAGTACAGCAACTGCATATTTTTTTAAAATAAAATTTTTTCTTTGTCATCTTCACTGTACATTAAATATTTTTGAAAAGGAAGTCTAAGGAAATCCAATTTTAAATATGCATGTAGTGGTAAATTATATTTATGCATTAAATATAGCGGCGAACACTGTGCAATGAACATATGTTCACGTAGATCGAACGACATTACTGCGTTTTTTATACGGTTTTCTGTTGAAAGGATGCCAAAAAAGAACAGAAAAATATGAAAATAATCATTAAAAAATGCGCTACTTATACAACATTTTATACAAGAGATAACAATTCACGCGAGTTTACAAAATGCGTGTTTACCACCTTCATTCGCTAACTAACAATGCTAACTACTAATGTTTCCATATAAAAACACACACTACCAAGATATACGTGACAAAATCTTTCAGTACCAGTCTCACCACATCACTTTAATTATTTTGACCTTGAATTTTTGCTAAAAGAACTAAGATTTTAAACTCAATTAGATAAGGAAAAAAAGTGTTTTATTTATTTAAAAGGGGGGACAATTACATTGCGATTACATAATTTATTTCCTCATAAAATACATTCGAGCGTTACCGAATGTGCATGTAATTAAGATGTAGATGTATGGTAGAAAACCACAAAAAAAAATTATATATATATATGGGTGTATTAAGATTACAATTCTGAGTCATAAAAGGGTAATAACCGGAATTTATAAACAATCATCTTTTATTTTGTAGCATAATTTAATAAGATATAAAATATTCTGAAATATGATTTAATTACAATTAACTATTGTTTAACTTTAATCATATTTAGAAATTTCCTAAATATTTATGTAACTAGATTTTTTTTAACAGATTTCAATTTATTGAAAAACTTTGACTTGCATAAGCGTTCTTCTTTTGATCTTTATAAATGCAATAATCTTTTTTGAGTTACGTGACGTGAAATAATTTGCCTTTAATATTTTAATAATATCATTTACCTTCTATAAAATAATAATTAATGGCAAACACTTATTAGGTCAATAGTTTAATAAATCTTTTAACCTTATAAAAAATACTGTAAAATCAAAACTAAGTGTTATAAAAGTAATAACACAGAAGTAATTTAATGTACTGTACAGGATAACATAGAACATATAAAATAGATAAACTTGGCCAAGAATTTATGTTTAGTCACGTTCGCGAGTACATCCATGTAAGATGCCACATACAATTATCATGTGTTTGATTTAAAATGTAACCTTCTGCCGCAAAATCATCCAAGGTTTATGAAGTTCTATAATAAACTAGTTTAAATATTTAAAAAAACATTAAATGCATAATCCTGTAAATGTCACTTCACTGGAGATATCAGAGGACAAGTCAGAAAAACCAGGCATGAAAAAAAAAATCAATAGTGATAATTTTAATATCGACCACATACTATCGACCATCCTCAGGATAATGGCCAAGATCATAGATCAAGATTTCAGTTATCTCCTATCGATCGGCTGTAAAATAAATGGTAAAACGCCAGACTATATTTAAAAAAATCTCTGTCTAATTTAACAATTAAAGTGTTTAAAGAGGTGAGACTGGTTAGTCACTCAAATTAAATATTACTCATTAAAACAATGTAAACATCTGATAACGCATCTTATCTGTCAACATAGAATTCATTTTAAAAAATATATAATTTTTATAAAATCTATTAGGGGAAAAAATCATATTCTTAGAACGACATTCGTTTCCTATTTTGATAACGTTTTGTTTTTTTTTTACAGCGATTTTCTTAGAAAATGAACATTTAACATTCATTATAAAAACATTTAACACGCAACATTGATTATCTAAAGCCGAGTCTAATTATAAACGAATAGCCACACACGTTTGTTATAAAAAAAGAAAACATATACAATATACATATTCTATATATACTACCCTTGCTATTTTAGTGAAGTGAGAAATCTTACACACACACACACACACACCAATATGAAAATATTTTACTTATAAATTCTAGTTTTTCCTGTTTCCTGGTATCAAACCATTAAACGATCTTATCGCTATTTGTGCGCCCGAAGAAAAATAACAACTTAAATATAATGCAGCATTCTGTATGATAAATAACCCAAAAAAACCTCAGCACGTGTAGCCTAGTTAACATTGGGTCACCGGGAGCTTTTTAGGTGTAAAATTTTCATTTCCTGAAAGAATTTTAAGGATAAACCTCGGAGATGAGTCATCGGCATGAGAAATTAATGAGAAAAAACTGAGGAGTCACTCTATAAATAGACAATAGATAGCTGACAATGAAAACAATTAAATTATTAGTATTAAGCTTAGGGTGCAGTTAAGACACTGATTTTTTTTTTTGTTTGCTACACTAGTCAGGTGCGTCAAGCTGTTATACCAACGCACACGTGCTTTTTAAATCTATAAATAAGTATAGTTATACACATACTTACTGGACAGGGGGAGAGAATACTTAGAACATCGCGACGACACACGTTGTAAACAGAATCAACAAAGGCACATGGTCTGTCTCGACAGAACACTTCACTACCCACCGGGCGTATTCTTCCACCAGTGTGTTCAGCACCATCGGTTCACAGACGCCCTCTGTTAGGAAATTCCATAATCTTTCTAATACTTGGATGTGACCTTTCTCAAAATTCTAAATTGTTATTATAATATAAAATGATGCCATTATTTAAACTTGACGTTTGTCTAACAGTTAATGCGATCATTTACATAATGGTATACGATTTTATTGTTTAATAAATAAATTGGATAATTTCCCGTTCTTAACGCCGTTGGGCATTATATTATTTGCTTATATTGCGTTTGAAATTGTATCAAAAATTAACAAAACTGTCATTTTCTAAAATTAATTATTGTCATTTATATAATTCAATCATTACGTGCTATAAGGACGCTTAGTTAATTATTTTTTCTATCTACGTTTTTCTCTTAAGCTATTTAAAATTACATTTTTATTATTATATCCTTTATAATAATCATCGTAATGTATTTTCCTGTTTAGTACGAGTGATAATGTAGAAATATGATGGAGTATCATCTTCCATCTTCAACTGCATTGTTGATAGTTTGTTTTCTTGATATATAATATACTTCGGACTTCAGATTACAGGAGTAATTAACATTGTTTTATACCGCATTAAATATGGCAAATAATTGAATTTTATTTTCAAAATTATACTTGGTGTTAATTTTTTATTTAAAAATTAATTGTTTCAAACGTTTTTATGCGTTTAGCAAATGTTTTATTCATTATAACAATATAAAATTTCTTCTTATCATAACACGAAAATTTATAAATTTTATATGCATCACCATAGCTTCATCATTAATTACGTGTACAGTTTAAGGGGAGGGAGGTTGCGAAAAGTACATCATTATACACGATAGTGAGGGCTATCGGAGCATTGTCTACACACGTTTTTTTTTAGTGATATTGATGGCGTACGAGTCACTAGTCACGTAAATAAACTATCAAAATATTTGCAGAACATTCTTTAAATCACTTCTTTAATACGATGGGTTGATGAACTATTGTACACGTAATTAAAGATGGGTTTGCTAAAAGTACATTATTGTACACAACAGGGAGGTAGGGAGTCAAAAGTTGCTGAAAAACTTTACATGTAAATTAATGAACGGTTCCCTGAATGAGCTGAAATTTTTGCATTCTTTGTTAATTTTAATACAAATTTCGAATTGTAATCCGCAAATTCATCCATTTACATTTGTTAAGTCATTAATAAAATATTAAAGAATCAAAAATTTACGCGATGTGAAAATATATAAAATTACACTGTCATCATCTATTGTTGTTATAAAAATTCATTCACGTGTATCTCTAACTTGATTTGCAATTCTACTTTATTTGATATGGTTGTAAAATATTAAAACCAGATGTATCCACGGTCAGATATCAGTATTTATTTATGGAATAAATTTATCAAAAATTATCTATATATAAATATTTTAATAAGATAAATACATTTAAAGATATAAAAAATTTTTTTTGAATTATTTCCTCTTCTAAACTTCAGATATTTTTTAAATCTAATAATTAATCTTTAATGTACTGTACAATGCATGGACTATAAAATGCATTATTAAAATTTAGAAATTGTAATTTGATTTTAAATCATTAAACTTTGAACCACTTAATTCTTTAAAACTAATTGTAAATTTTATATAAACAATAAAAAAGCTGGCTGTAAAACATTATTAAAAGTGTATATATATAATATATATATATATATATATTGCTTGTTTAACTTTCTTCATTAAATTAGTAGTTTAAACTACAGAATATATTTACTATATTTTATAATCATATACTATTTACATATATACAATTTAATGTTTTTATAAAATTAAAAACTAAAAATACTGAGTAAAAGGAATTTTAATTTGGATTTAGAGGTCATCTCTAACCGTTTCTATGCTAAAAATATGATGTGCTAAAAAAGCCATGCTGGTGTCATGCAATATGCTTTTATAATTATGAAGAATGAGTTAATGAAGTAGCGTATTTTATGTATACACAACAGCATAATCAAGGCTAATGTTATTCAAAAATCATTCAGAATTATTAATATGATGGACATGTTGCTTAGTAGAGCGGCTTTAATACAAATGGATAAGCAAGCCGATGAAGTCCCATTTTGTTTAAAATGGATTATGTCACTGGTTCACTTACCCAGTTATATTAAAGCCATTTTATCAGACAACATATCCAATGTTTCAAATAAAAAACACAATTCTAATATTCATTAATCATTTTATAAATTTTTATTTTAAAATAACTAGATAACTTCCAATGTAAGTTTATTTTAACATAGGTTACCTTTAATGGTTAGTAATCACAATATTAGTTACCGTAATTTGTAATATATAAAAATTTTTGTAACCAAAAATAAATTCACACATTTTAAAATATTAATTCGTGTGTTTTCCCCTCTTTTGTATACAATTCATAAATTTTTTTCCCATTGTAAAACAATATAATAGGGACAAAAACAAAAACACAAAAGCAAAATAAAAACAAATTATTGCAGTTAATGTTAACAAAGAAAAAAAAACCAACAATTACTTGTAATCAACTAAAACAAAATTTAGCACATCTTTGTTATTTGATTAAAATCATAAATGCCAAAAATGTGAGATTCAATTGATTTAATTTTGTATAAAATGAGTATTGCTAACATAACAAAATAATATAGAATGCTAAGTATTTCTATAAAATGAGAAATATATATGCAAGACATCACAAAAAAATAGCACTCTTGATTGCTTTTTTGCATTTCAATTGTCTTGAGACTTGATATTTTACCATCATCTGTTTTTTGGCAAACTATTTACATATTAGGCAGTGGTTTAATACATATTAACAGCCCTATGAAGTTATACTGTACAAAATGAAATCGGCATTGCTACCAATTAAATCGCAGCAATGACGATTATTTTTATCGGATATTATGGGTAAAACAAAAAAAAATGAAAAGATTAAAATTATAAAATGAGGTTTTACAATTTGACACTTGATTTCACAAAAGATGTACAAAATTTGATATGTTCAAAAAAATTTTTTGGATTTTTTTTAAATTCCCTGATGTGTCAATTGTTAACAAATGTTCAATCCTCAACTTTTAAAAATCTGTATCCTCTCATCGTGTTGTGATTCATTTATTTGAAAATAATCCATTTCTTTATCCTGTATGGTTAGTCTCCCGATGTCTCTGGCTGTCTGAGTTAAAAAACTGTCCCTTTCTGAATACTGATAAGATTGAGTGTTCTGTGGAAATAAATTAGCTTGTGCTCCAGAGGTAGAATGCTTGTTAATGGACACTTGAGATGATGGCCAAGAGACAACATCCGGTCGTTGACTGTACGCTTCTTGACTGTTTATATTTCTACTACAGTCATCCATTCCTGCCGCTTTTGTAGTAGTTCTCTTAGAAATTAATCCTTGATCTAAAAGTTTACTATTCTTAGTTTTATGTGGAGGTGGATTTAATTGACTTATAGTAGTAGTAGTAGTTGAATTAGTAGAACATGGCACATACATTGAAGTATTTAAATTATTAATTTGAAGAGTCAATAAACTGCTTGTAGAATCATCACCAAGTTGTGATAAAATTGGTGATCTTGTCCTGATTTGAGGACTTTCCACTTTCTGAACTTTGAAAATTTCATCGGTAGTTTTAACAAAATTTGTTCGAGTTGGACTACTGGAAAAGGGCAATCCAGATAAAAATAAATTTGCCTTTTCTTCAGAGAAACTTCTTAACTGTGGACTGTTTGATGGACTCGAAACATTCAGATTTTGAGAAGTACTACTCTGAATAGATGAGGATGGTACAATATTTTTTGGCATCCATGATTCATAGCCCTGAGTAGGATGGAGCAAATTTTCATGCAATGGTGATCTTGTAGTTGTTGGAACCAATTCTGGAAGATTAGCTGAAGTTGGTAGTTGAGATATTCCACTATGTGCTACCTATATTAATTATAACAAAAAACAAGACATTAAAAATTTATTTTATTATATTATTGATATTAAAAATGATCTAAATTTTTGGTTTATAATGAAATATTACATGTATATAGTAAAACCTCCCTTCACCATCTCTATTTTCTGCCTACCTCTCATCTTTGACCAGAGGAAGAATTCCCTAAACTTTTCTAGTGATTTAAATGTCTGGATTTAAATGTCTGCCAAACACCAAAACTCTGCTTTCATATTTCGAAACTGTGTTATATCTTTATATTAGTTTTTCAAAACCGCAATGCAGCGTAATAGCACATAGTTGTTTATACACCATGTATAAAGAACTGTGCTAGCTGCCAGTTGTTTATACACCATGTATAAACAACTGGCAGCTAGCACGGACTGGGTGGCACGTGTTAGTAAATCAGTTATGGTAACAACAATCTGTGTTCAACAAAAACTGAAATAAATGAATGAGTTATGCCAAGTGTTGATTATTACGCTGCATTGCGGTTTTGAAAAACCAAAACTCTGGTTTTGAAAACAAATCTAATGCAAAATGAATGTTTTCAATTGCCTTAAACAACCATCATCAGATTACAGAAAATGTTCTTTTTTCATTAAATTTAATTTTCAGAAGCTGGAGTTTGGTCTTTGATGAATGTCTTATATTATAATCCAGTTTCTAGGCTGTTTTATTCACAGACCAAACTCTATTTCATGATCACCTTTGACTTGTGCCATCTTCAATTTGTGACCATATGTGAGGGCTGTTTGGAAAGTTTGCGGCCTTGCCTATATGCAGCATGTGATCAATTTAATTTTTGGCGGGAATAATTCAGCCATCCTTGCTAAAGATAAGATACCAATTTCCGCTTGATTTGTCGTAAAGTTTTGCCACGACAGCTTAGCAGATAGTCAGTGTTCACATGCTTTGTCAAAAATGGAGAAGATGGAGACTCGTGTGATCATAAAATACCTGACAAAAAAAGGGTTCACCCAATCTCAAATCAAAGCTGACATGGATGAAGTTTTGGGAGAGTCTGCTCCTTCATACACCACTGTGAAAAAATGGAGCCCTTTTTAAATCTGACAGAGAGAGTGTGGAAGATGACCTTCGCAGTGGACAGCCGTCAACTGCTGTTACTGAAAAAAATATCGACAAAGTTCATGATTTGGTGTTAGCAGATCGCTGTTTGAAAATGCGTGAGATAGCTGAGACAACAGGCATATCTGTCAACCGAGTGCACCACATCCTAACTGAAAATTTGGGTAAGACGAAGGTCTCAGCAAGGTGGGTGCTGCATCTGCTGACTGCCGAGCAAAAATGTGTTTGCAGTTTGATGTCAAAGGAATGTTTTGACTTCTACCAGAAAAACCCACAGGATTTCTTGCGTCGGTTTGTGACTACTGACAAAACATGGATCCATTACTACACTCCTGAAACAAAAGAACAGTTGAAGCAATGGAAACACCACAGTTCGTCACCACCAAAGAAGGCAGAGACAGTTCCATCAGCGGGGAAAGTGATGGCCTTGCTGATGGCATCATCTTTATTGACTACCTAGAAAGAGGAAAGACCATCAATGTTGTCTATTACTGTGAACTTTTGGAAAAACTGAAGAAAGAAATCAAAGAAAAGAGGCCACACTTGAAGAAGAAAAAGTTTCTGTTCCACCATGATAATGAACCTGCACATTCTGCTAGAATCACTGAACAAAAGATAAACAAACTTCGCTTCCAATTAGTACCACATCCATACTCACCTGATTTGGCCCCCCCAGTGACTTCCACCTTTTTCCAAACCTAAAAAAATTCTTGGCTGGAAAGAGATTCCACTCAAATGACAAAGTCATCTCTGAAGTGAACGAATTTTGCACACCTTGACAAATTGACCTATTGTGATGGCATAAAAAAGCTAGAACATCACTGGAATAAGTGCATTGCTAACAACGGAGACTACATTGAAAAATAAAGAAAGTTTTAACATTATTTTGTTTGTTGTTCTATTTGAGGCCGCAAACTTTCCGAACAGCCCTCATATTTTTGGTCTCTTCCATACACATCAGTGCCTCTGATATGTGGCCATAGGCATTCAGTTACTTCAAATGAAATTTCTTTGTCATTTGGAGTTGCTTTCTTTGTTCATTTTCCAATTTTCTGAAGCCCTAGGCACAAAAGATTGGAAGCCCATCTACATACTTTTATTATATCATAAACTAATAGTGTCTAATTGTAACTATAGAATTATTCATGAATTATGATTACAATTACAATGATAAAATTGCTTTATTTTTTCCCTCAATCTCAGGACCCCTAGGCATATAACTCACATGCCTAGTAAACAATCCAGCACTATTTCCAGGAATGTTATTATAATCATTAATAATCATGAAATGTAACTTCTCTACAGTAATAAGAAGATTAGCAAGGCTAGCAACATTTTTGGCAACTTGTGTTCATTAACAAAACTGTAAGTAACCATAAATTTCAGCACAAATTCTTTATATAACTAACATTTGACCTTATTCAAAAGCGTTCATTAGGCTATTAATAACACTCAAAAAGTTTTAGATAAAACAGTAATGTTATCATTAACAAACTACTAGTGCAAATTTAGCTTTTAGTTTATTTGCTTAAAATATTGTAAATTTAGAATAAACACCTTTCTGTCTTTTTAAGTTATTGCAAATTCTATAATACTGTATGTTAAAAATAAAGACTATAAATCAACGGTGGCCAACCCCCAGCCCGCGGGCCATAGCTGGCCCGCGAAAAGTTTCTATCTGGTCCGCGAGATGTTTAGAAGAAATTATAAATAAATATTTTTCGATGTAATTCGTCTAGTTTAAATTGAATATTATTTTCTGAAGTGTTGTGGCAGCAATGACAGGAAAAAATAAGGGAGTCATTTCCTTATTCAGACAAAAAATGAAAGAATAGAATTTTTCTAAATTATTTATATCTCATCGCATCATCCATCAAGAAAATCTATGTGCAAAAGCTATGCAATTAGAAAATGCATCGTATCCAACTACATAGTGCCGTTTTTATTGTGTTTAAAGTCACTTAGATTTTACAAATAGGTGAGCCGTTCACAGCCCAGCACACGCATTTGTAAAATCTAAGTGACTCATACAACATGGAATTCATATAAAACGGAATAATCAACAGTGTTATGGGGGGGGGTCGACTGTAGTAATTAATTTCTTTTTATTTATTTATTTATTTCATATTTGCAGACTAAAAATTTACAGGTCACAAGGTGTCAATTAACTACTATGGCCCGCGGAAAAAACTTAAAATTTATTCTGGCCCATGTTATAAAAAAGGTTGCCCACCCTTGCTATAAATAACACACTGTCTTGTGATAATTTTTGATTTTCCCGGAGAATGAACACAAACAGGAGATTTTACTATATATAGAAGAAATATCATATAAGTCATGTTTAAAATTTTCCATGTGTTTATAAAGCTTTTAGTAACACTTCTACCTAAAACTTAAAAACTAACACATTACACATACACATTAAATAGATTGTCTTTCAGCATCAATAGCCTTTTTATTAATTACTAGCAGACCCCGCCATGCCTTGTTGTGGCTCAAAATGTATCTATTATAAATGCCTTCTTAGTGTACATTCTGTTGACGTATCCTATTAAAATGCAATCAAAAACGCAAAAACCCGCATCTAAAATAGTATAATAGAAGCCAAGTTTTTCAGAGTAAGCCTTAATCCTGTCTCTCTCCCCCGCGGGG